GAAACAAGTAGATCCTTCCTCATTCTCACACTATATATATATATATATATATATATATATATATATATAATTATATTTAAGTTCTATCTTTTTTATCGGTAAAATGAAAAAGTTAAAATAATAAATATAAGTCATTTTGATTTTACTTTAATCTATTCTCATTTTTGTTAACTTACAATATTGTTATATATGTGAATTTGAGGTGATATTATTGAAATTGACAAATTTGGAGTGGGAATATTAGTGGTAAAGAAAGGACTTAAAGTTACTTACTCTTTAGTCTGAAAGGTATATTCACGTATATCCAAAAGTTGTGCGTCTTGTTCAAGAGTTAAAACTAAAAATTATATTTAAATATTTTCATTTTTTAACCTATCAAAATATTTTTCAAAAATCTAATTGTGATAAGACAATGAACATCAAAATAATCAATATACATATCAAAGAACTTAACTGCCACTAACTTAAAAGGGATATTTTTTTTTTGGGAGGATCTGTTGTTCTAGTATAAATGTTTCTAGTGTTTAGTGCCATAATTTATTTTGGGTGGAATATCTTTTAGTTTAGTTATCAAATATTTATAACATCATGAAAAATTGTAGATATCTCATAACTTTCTACTCAAGATGCAAGGACTTAATTATTGATTATTCCTCTTTTAATTAAGGTAATTTTAATTTGAACTTCTAACTTACTCTATAAACTTTTACATTATTAATAAATAACTTTATATACGATCTAATTTTTATCAATTGTAACTGTACACCGAATGTTACTTCATTATTTGTTGTATTAAATTTTTATAAAAATTTAACAATTATCAATGTATAATAAGAGTTATTGTTTTTATATATTTTAAAAATATATTCCATTAATTTTGATGTTCACCAATAAAGTGTTAAATAATTATATGTTAATTACATAAGATTTTAAAATATAATTTATACAATAACAATTTTCTATCTAATAATAAATTTTGTGATAAAATTTACTTAAGAAAAGTAATTGTTAATGTAACTTGTAGCAATGTATTCTGAACCTTCGTTATATATATAGTGCGTATGTTTGTATACTATTTAATAACTTTTCCTTAGATAATTTTATCTCAAAATTTACTATGACTTTTTTTTTATATATTTTATTTACAAAATTTTATATTAATCTTGAATTATTTGTATGTTTCATTTGTATGAAATATTTGATTACCCAGCTATTATTATTCATTTGACGCAAACAATAAGGTAATGTATACTTTTAATTAATTAATTTACAATTTTTATTGACATAATTATTTTTTCATATAAAGATTAGTTAAATTGATATGAATTTATCTTATGAA